AACTATCTTAAAAAGTTAGTACATGCAATAGTTAAGTGCTTTCTCAATATATGGCAAAGTATCCTTATCTAGCCTTTTTTAGACATATGCAAGTTCATGGAATCAGCAGTATGTACAGTGTTACGTGGAGTTACAGCTTTTGCAAATCTACTGGGTTTTCTGAAAGAATTTCTGCCTCCTAAAGGCCCAATTTTCTAATCATGATTCAGAAACGGTTAAAGGTAGCAAAATGATATCAAGGTGAATAATTCGCTTGCAGAAAGTATTAGATTTCATTCCAACCAAATGAAGAATTATAGTTTTTCTTCATTTTCATAACATATGATCACATGTATACTATTACATAGCCAACATCGTATTGTATTATTAAATGTTTACATCAATTCGTCTTGTCATCAACTCCCAAAATCAATTATTGGCTGTTCTGCTCTCCATACACCATATTTGTACCTTATCCACCACTTTCTTCTCCCTCTCTCCTCCCCTTCCCTACCTCCTTTCTTCCCTGTCAGCCTTCTCTTCTCTATTTCCCCTTCCTCTCTCCCCTTTACACTCCTCCTTTCTCTCCTCCTCTCCCCCCCGCCCACTCTCCTATCTCTCTCTTCTTCCCTCACCTCTATCTTCTACTTCATACTCTTCCCGATGAAGAATTAGAAGCAACTTTGTACTGATTTTGCTCCTGCTTTTCCACTCAATCCGGGAGAACCTATCCCTTTTCCAGCAATACTTAAAACATGGATTCAACATACATACAGATCTCTCTCTCTCCCCCCCTCCCCCCACTCTTATAGCTAGTTCTGGATTCATAATTCAATTACTTGATTAGAAAGGCTTTCAGGGCACAACTTAGTTTTATCCCTGCTCATTCAGCATTCTCTTGACAGCAGTCACCCAACAGGCATTCCTGAACAAACAAGGCACAGGAAACAATATGCTGCAGCTGATAGCGGTATCCCAATCACAGGACTGGCAACGCACCCTAAGAGAGCTATTGGGCACTGCAATTACACAAATATGTGCACCCTGGAACTGGAAGTGAGCTAACAGGTGGAATATTTTAGTGTGAAGCCCAAATTATTTTTACACGCACTACATGATAGTATTACCACCTTTTTATAGATACTTTCAAATATAAAGCATTAATATTTGTAGTTACTTACTGGGTCACATTACCCCTTTGAGGAATATAACAATTATTGTAATATGTGCACATTTTGTATTTCTGATAGCAGACAATAGCTTCGGAGCAAATCTGACAGCTGCGGAAACAAATAGAAACAGCTTAACTTGCCCAATAGGGAGGGCCGCGTAGTTTGTCATATAGGGCAGGAAGGAGAAAGTATGGAAGACATTTTGAATAAAGGCCTGTGTAAAGGCCTTATCCTTGAAACACAGTGGGTATTAAAATGTTTGCTATTATGGCTAAGCTGGATTGGATCTGTTGTGAACTTGTCTAAGTGGTTTGTGATGCCCATCAATATGGATATTTATATAATCTACATTATATAATTATTTATTAAATTGTACAATTTATATAATTATATAATTTATCCCAAAGTGCTCTCAAAAACCTGTGTAAGAAACTTGAACCAAGGAAAATGAAATTTGGTACACATATAGCCCAAGATATATAATCAACACTCTCAAATTTGGCATTGAATTGTTGAGTATTTTTTTTCAATTTTCTAGAGTTGATGAATATACTAGGTTACCTACTAGAAGGTAGACTATTCTAAAACATTCTTCATTAATTTATGTTAATAGTTGTCAAGAATTTACCCATACCATAGGATAATTAATATAAGATAACATAATAATGAAATGAAATAAAATACAAATCTGGGCATGGAAATAACTCTTATGAATCCCCTTGCCTTCACTTTTTATGTCTACAGTATAAACCAGTTGGGTTGGCACTAATGACCCCCTTCAGAACAAGACTTAATATTAAGGATTGGGAAAAATAAGTATAAGGGAGAAAACATAAATATATATTGCATCTAGCCTTACCCAGTAACCTAGTTATGAGTTTCATTGAGATGACCAACACAATGCAGTTACAATACAATAGCAGAGTTGGAAGGGACCTTGGAGGTCTTCTAGTCCAACCCCCTGCCTAGGCAGGAAACCCTATACTGTTTCAGACAAATGGCTATTCAACATCTTCTTAAAAGACTTCCAGTGTTGGGGCATTCACAACCTCTGGAGGCAAGCTGTTGCACTGATTAATTGTTCTGTCAGGAAATTTCTCCTCAGTTCTAAGTTGCTTCTCTCCTTGATCAATTTCCACCCATTGCTTCTTGTTCTACCCTCAGGTACCTTGGAGAACAGTTTGACTCCCTCTTCTTTGTGTCAACCCCCGAGATATTGGAACACTGCTATCATGTGTCCCCTAGTCCTTCTTTTCGTTAAACTAGACATATCCAGTTCACTGCAACCATTCTTTATATGTTTTAGCTGCCAGTCCCCTAATCATCTTTGTTGCTCTTCTCTGCACTCTTTCTAGAGTCCCCACAACTTTTCTACATCGTGGAGACCAAAACTGAATGCAGTATTCCAAGTCTGGCCTTACCAAGGCATTATAAAGTGATATTAACACTTCACGTGATCTTGATTCTATCCCTCTATTTACGTAGCCTTGACAAGCTCCTTTTTGATTGTGAAGAAAATACTGATAAAATTCCTTCAACAGGTCAATCAAGGTTCTGGTAGTAAAGTATAATATACACATTGGCTGCTAATGAGCACTTACTATAAGTCAAAGCAAGACATTTGAGAAAGGTGTGAATTTAGATAGACTTCCTTTTCTGCATCACCAAAGCTTAACACATAAATAACATTTCCTGTAGATTTGCAGGCAAAACAGGACATACGTGACTTTTTTGCTTGTTTGAAGGAAGAAAATCTCTTGAGGCAAGCATAAGGTAAGAAAAACAGGCTCTCCCTATTTCCATAGATATTTTGAGTTTTTAAATCTTGATTTTGAGGGGGGGAAAATCATAAGTAGAACCAAGAACAAATTGATTACTTCATTTAACAATATGCAAAAAAGTCCACAAATCTATCAACTGATTATTCAAAACTATGGAACAAAATTAATTGAAATATTTTTCATTTATGTACAGAGTACCTGTAGCTATAATTCACCTTGATGAGACTGCAAAAAACACGTTGTTCCTTTGGGGTTGGGAAGAGCTGATCATTCTACAAGTTCCATTAAATCAAAGAAATTTACTTGAATGAAAAGTTTTACGATCCACTGAACAGTAAAATAATCCACTATCGTTTAGCAGTTAGGAACTTCCTTTCAGTTACAATTATAAGTTCTAATAAAACCTATAATTTCCTTTAACGTGGGAATCATCAACCTTAGATATCAAAAGAGGAATCTATAATTATTTTAGACTAAAAATAGGGATTTACAAAAACAATTGCTCCTTCTGAAACTAATTAAAATCAAGCATATCGTAGAGAAAATTAGGATAGAATTCCCCCCCCCCCTTTGGTGTCTGCTTTATTCATCAGAGAAATATGTAGAAATGAGTTCCACAACAGCGATCTTAAGTAACAGTGTAAATTGTAGTTCTACATGTCTTGAGGCCATCAATTCACTGAAGACTTCTGTATAGAAATAAATAAACTTTGGCACTAAAAACTCTTATGATATCAGACCCTTTGAGGATTTTGCCCAAACCTCACAGAACTACACTTAGTTATAAGCACATACCAAAACTTTTAAACTGGCACTCCTTGCTTCACTAGAAAACTATTTCTACCAAATGTGGGAATTTGACATTTGAGAATACAGGTTGTCCTTGATTGACGATGGCAATTGGGACCTGGATTTTCATCTCTAAGGAATGCGGTCATAAAGCATGCTCATATCTTTTAGTGATAGCAATTCCCTGCAGTCTTGGAGGGCAGCGTTAACTGAATCCTATGATCATTAGGCAAGGCAACCTCTTGCTGGCTTCCCCCAACAAAATCACTGGGAAAACTGGCAGGAGGTTGCAAGTCCCAAGAGCACAGAGAGATAAGTAGGGAGAGAATGAGGGGTTGAGGGTAAAAAAGAGGGATGACATGGGGAAGGGGTGCAAAGATGTGAGTGGTACATGAGAGGTATCGTGTAGGTCAGAAGAGTGCACATGGGCAATTCAAGATGGGTCAGGGAGGGTGCATGAGAGTGGCTGCATGGGTTGGGACATGCATGGAGTACATGAGGTGTTGTAACCTAGGGCAACGGGGCTGGGGGAGGTTATGTGGGAGGAGAGACTTACGTTCCTTCCCAACTTCCCTATTGACTTTCTGGGATAGTTGGCAGAAAAGACTGCAAATAGCAATCATGTGATTGCATGGTGCCTAGCAACTAGTCGAAAGTAGAAATGGATTGCCAGATCACAATCATGTGACCGATGCTGAGGTGGCGGGAACTGTGAAGACTGGTAAAAAAAAACCACCATTTGTTCAGTGCCATCATAACTTGGAATAGTCACTTATTGACTAGTCGTAGGTCAAGAACTACCTGTTTTCATTTCTTTCATGCCCACTATGAAGAATTACAGATACCTGGAAATATGGAGATGAAATTTGCACTTAATAAAACTTAAACTCTGAAAATACACATTAGGCTCAAATAATAGTGTTAATAATTCCCAAGGATTCTTGAAATTATTTGTCCGTAGCTTGTGCACATTTATTGGGAAGACAAAAATAATTCACATTAATATCTGAAGAATTACATGACTGATTGGTAGCATATCACAGAAATGGAACAGTCTTGTAGTCTTTAGGAGTATAACATGGCTTGATGGCAGGTAATTAATCAATCAGTCAATCAATCAATCAGCTACTTAGTAATATTTATACACAGCAGGTTGAACTTATTTGAAGCAGAAATAGACCAAGTGAACTCAAGGGCTAAGGTTGAATTTCCTATATTATTCATATTTAAACAATGAAAATTAACTGATTTCTGACAGAAATTTAAAAGAGTTCCTTACCTTATTTTCCTCTAAAAATTTCAATTTAATTGATACATCACTGCGCATTTTGTCATATTTCTCTTTATGTATTTGGAATAGTTGTTGTGATTGCTCTATCTTTGGCAAAGTATTAGCATCACGGGGGCCAAGATTCAGTTCTTCTAGATCTGTACGATAAGCATCATATTCAATCCTGAGAATAAAAGAATTAACATGCACAAATATTCATGAACTGCAAAATTTAATTAGAGCGCTAATATAGAACAGTGGTTATGGTGCTGGACTAGAACTGGGTAAACTCAAGTTCTAAATGATTATTAGGAAAAACAATTGAAAGTTATGTATCTTATTTTGAGTTTTTGTTGGGGAGAACATAAATCTAGTAAAAAACAAACTTAATTTTGTACCACAGTTATAAAACTTTGTAGTGACCAAAAACTATTCTCTATTGCAATGTACACTCCTGTTCAATGTTTTATTATTTTTATTTTATTTTATGCTTTGATCCTGTTGCGTAAGGTCCCTACAAACACTTAGTGATTGAAGCAGCCAACAAATGAATAAAATGGAAACTTCAAAAATCAGCCATACCTGTATTGTTCACAAATTACAAAATTTTTATTGATTTTAACAGGACTGCTTTAGAATACGTCTCTGATCCAACACTACACTGTATTAAGAAGTAGATTCAATGTTCAATAAATAACTACTTAAATTAAGATAAATACTAATATATAAGCCATTACCTGGCAGTTTCATACTGCTTCACCGTCAGTAGAGTATCCTCAATAGTTTTATTTACCAAAGTGTTCACACTAGCTATAAAAAAATTAATTGCGCCAAGCAGAGTTTCACCATTTTTAGCAAGTAGCTTCTGTGTATCTGCATTGTATCCAAATTCCTCCTGTTAATATATAATTTAGGAACACTTAATTCTTCTTTATTAAATTTTACCGGCATTATAACAGTAATCACGATATTTTAATCCTCAATATGAAAGCAACCTGATCAAGATATTTTAAGCCTCAATATGAAAGCAACCTGATCAAGATATTTTAATCCTCTTGGTACTCCCAGGAGCATAGCACATGCTTCTTGATTTCAATAGAGCATGGATGGATTGCTTTTTTTCTGGGTATAAAATTAATGAAATACAGAATACTTTTACAAAACAGTGAAGTCAATGTCTCAAAATAACCATCTCCAATCCTAGAACACTTTGTGCGAATTAATTAGCAGTATTAATTCATATTGGTACGCAATGTGGAAGGCAGGAATTATTGGATTTTTTCCATTAAGCTACCAGTTATAGGGATGTGGTGGCTCAGTGGCTAAGACGCTGAACTTGTCAATCAGAAGGTCGGCAGTTCAGTGGTTCGAATCCCTAGCGCCAGGTAACAGCTCCCGTTACTTGTCCCAGCTTGTGCCAACCTAGCAGTTCAAAAGCATGTAAAAATGCAAGTAGAAAAATAGGGACCACCTTTGGTGGGAAGGTAACAGTGTTCGGTGTGCCTTTGGCGTTTACTCATGCTGGCCACATGACCACAGAGACATCTTCGGACAGTGCTGGCTCTTCAGCTTTGAAATGGAGATGAGCACTATCCCCTAGAGTTGGGAACGGCTAGTACATATGTGCGAGGGGAACCTTTACCTTGCCAGTTAATGGACCCAATGTCTTTTTACCAGTTGGATTAAACATAAATATAGGCATTTCAGCAGAGGATGAAGATAATTAATAGAAATGAAATCTTACATGGAGTTCTAATGATTTCAAACTTAAGTCTGCAAAGGCCTCTCCAAGCTGTCTTTGAGTATGCACCATCTGGGAAAGTTGAGTTGATAGAGTTTGCGCCAGTTTCAAGACATTCTCATACTTCTTTTTGTTATCCCTCAATATTTCAATTTGAGCTTCTAACTCAAGATCTACGGTTCGTGATCCCCGGCCCAGCTTCTCTGAGATTATTTGACGAGTACACTGTAAAATTTGAGACAGAAGCTTAAATTAAGTTTTTCAGTTTCTCACCCATACAGTTTATGTGAATTATTTAAATTAATATCATTCATGTTACAGAGTTATTATAAATTGTTCTAAAATATTGCACTTGCTTTTTAAAAAATTCTCTACATACCTTCTTAAAGTTTAACTATTTTAAAGAGTAAGATCATCTAATATAAGAAAAAAAAAGCTATGCTGAAAATCAACTGAAGTTACTTATAAAATCTTATAGTAATGAATGCACATACAATTCCCAAGTCACTAAAATAATATGTTGCAGGCCATAAATATGAACATTTAAAATACGGGAAGTATATGCTATACCCAATTTCAAACTCAACGTATCTAGCTGGCAATTGTATTTGACAGCAAAATATGTAGTTCTAAGCACTGGCTAAAAGAATTACCTACTTCTATAGGATATAAAGCACCATTCAATCACTCTATTACTGGTCATGCATCGGGAAGAACTATTGAATCTTGTTTTCAAATCGGCTCTCAATTTGGGAATAGGAGGGCATTACAGTTAATTAATTAATTAATTTCCCAGTAATTGCTTTTGGTTCCTAGTTTCAACGAGCCAAGATCACTGCAAAACATCTGAAAACAAGTCGTAAGGGAACACACCCCAACCCCGGGACCAACTCTAGGGCGGGAACCTGGCTAATCCTGCAAAACCTCCTAAAACAACAGTTCAGGTAAGACCAACTGTCATTTTGGAGGAATTTTGCAGGATTAGCCAGGATTGGGACATATCCAAGTTAACGTCCCTCAGGGGGGGCATTATTGGTCCTAGGCCGCTCATGCGCTACCACCTGTTGTAACACCCTACGACCAAATACTGCATCAGCCAATGCAAACACGTCTAACCTGCAGTGCCTGAAAAAGGGAGACGGGGATGCCCACGTAGCCGCCCTGCAAATCTCCACGATAGGCGCCTGTGTGGCCTAGGCCGCCGAGGTAGCCGCACCCCTGGTGGAGTGTGCTGTGATGGCACCGGAAGGTGCTGAACCTCATAGGCCAATGCGATGACCAGTTTGATCC